GCCTTCCTACTGCCGTTACCGATGATGGGGACAACTGGACACCTGGTGGCCACTGTACTGAACAACCAGTATGAGGACAGGATTGCCAGCTTGCATGGGCATGGGAGAGTACAAATATTGAAGAGACGCAGCTATCACCCATTAGTGACCTCCAAGACTTCCTGCTGCCAGCTCTGCCAGCTCTGTCCGGAGAACAGTGCTTTGATTATTCAACTGGGATTCCCACTCATTCAGGGGCCCATCTGGTGTGAAAGTGAAGACGGGTAAATCCCGCAGCTTCTAAAGATGGGGAGGAGATAGTGGACTGAGGTGACGGGGGCTATCGACAGGGCTTAATACAGGATTGCGGCAGGAGTCAGACACCAATATGAAACAAATTAGGCACACAGGGAATACAGTTGTGGGCTACTCACAGGATCAGCAGCATGGTCTAAAGTTAGTTCAGGCTCTGCTAAGGATAATGCTGGGAGGGTTTAGGGTTTAAAAAATTTTAAACAAAAGTTGATGGAGCAGCCCAACAAATAAACCTCAATCCTGGTGGCTCTTTCACCACCACCGAGATAGAGGGGCTCAGCAGTGTAGAGATTTGTAGAAGGGCTTAAGAAATACGGACAACAAGACACAGGGGGGCTGCAGACACCTGGAAGAAGTCTGAGGTCAAAGGGGCGACTGGATCACAAGGGGACCTAGGAACAGGAAAGAACAGCAGACATCTTCTAGGTGCAGGCTGGGCCAGATGATTGGGTCTGAAGGAGAACGCAGACTTCTGAGTCCTGACTCAAATGCCAAGCTTGATGATTCCACATATTGCCAATCTCTCGAAGGAACCGGCAATGGATTTTTGGGACTTGAAAAAAATATCAAATCAAATGGTTACGGGGGAAAAGAAGGGAAAAAAAAAACCTGTTGTTTTTGCTTGCTGAGGAAGTCATAGTGGCTAGATGAGGATGGACCGTGGATATCCATCGATTCGCACGGGTGGTTGAGAGGAAGGGAGCTCGACTGAGCCTAGGGCCTCTCCCATGAGTCTTGCATGTAGCAGCAAACACCTTTCTGCCAGAAGGACGCAATTTTCGTCGCTGTCATTTTCAGATAGCGCCTTTGCCCAGTTGTGGACCCAAGCCAGAAGCCCCACAAGCACTCCTCCACCGTCTCCTAGAGCCGCCACAATGTTTGCTGGCGACAGGGCGACCATGACGCATGCTGCTGCCTCCAGTGCCGACTGCCGTACGTACGCCTCCTTGTGCCGGCCAACCCCTCCAGTTTGCAGCAGCTCCAAAAGCACCGTAGCAAGAGGGAGGGTCTCAACCGATGGAGCGGAGCAGGTGACGAAAAGTCCTAACACTTGCAAGAGTCTACCAAAGACGAAAAAATCACGGGACACCAGACGGAGGGTGCCATCGACCTTGTCGTAATCTCTCATTAAGGGTAGCATGAAGGTTGCCGCGTAAGGCGCAAACCGGTTCATCCTCGTGCTGGTTCCTGGCATTTTACCACCCAAGTGCGCCTGCCTTCTTAGGCGCAGTGACGTGTGGCCCCAGCGTCTCGAAGTGCCTGCCTCCCTTGTGCCAGGCAACAGTGGCAGCTCCCGCTCATACCGAGGCAGAGACAGCAGACCATGGGACTGGCGAGCCTCAACCCAAGGTCCAGCACCGGTAGTAGGTTCAGGGATACTGCCCACAGGTGGTGGTCCCCACCACGGACTTTTTGAAGATCCCTCAGCAGGCGTGAGCTCCCGCACCAGAGACCTCTGCTCAGAGAATGACTGGGAGGTCTCCAGCGACGACAGCTCGAGAGCAGCATCCGCCATGGCGTCGAGGATCACCAGCCGATGGCTGCTGTCCATGTGGGGGGAGTATACCTCCTTCAAAAGAACTTTGAGAGAGGGAAGGGTGGAACAGGTGAGCAAGGCCACGAGGGCCCTGTGGCGCTTTTCCGCAGCTCCAGCTTCTGCTCCTGCCACAGTTATGTCATTCGGACTCACTCGTAGAAGCTTGCTCGTCAGCTGTGCACCGTAGTCATCAAGTTCATCCGGCATTGCCCTAATTAGGCCTTCTACCACATCGAGGGCGCGAGTAACTGCATCAGGGTCATCGGTCTTGTTGAATGCTAACATGCAGAGGCGTAGCTGTCCCGGGACCTTCTCCCTCTCCAAATCCTCCTCATCATCGGAAAGGTCATAAGGCTCCAATGAGTCTTCTTCGCTGTCCTGGCTATCGGAGATCGAGTCCTCAGGGTCGCTAGCACCAGCCTTGTCCTCGTCCTCGTCATCGCTAACAAAACCCCTTTGCTTCCCTCCTCCTTTTGTCACATTGATCACAGCATCAGGGTCATCTTCCTCCATAGCCAGCTTCTCTCGCCGCTCCCTTCTTCTGCTTCTTARCCTCTTCTTCGCCATGGTTTCAACACCCCCTTCCCTTTCCTTGCCCGGATMTCCTCCTCCTCTGAACWGCTGCGATTCACCCTCCTGCCCTCCTTTGTCCATCCTCTCCACTGWTTCTTCCCCGCTTTCTCTGTCCGCTCYCTCTCCCCGTTCCTGCTTTCCGAGCCTCACAGCTGCCGCCGCCACACGTCCTTTCCCTCCTGCCATATCATCATCCATTAATGACCCTTGCTCCTCTCCCAGGRGCTCTCTTTTCACACGCCCGGGATCCCCCCACCATCCCTCCTCCCACAGAAATGCATCCCCTGCCCCGCTCTCTCCCTCTTCCTCGAAAATAAGCACATTTCCAGGATCAAAAGACCGTGAGAATGCCTCCGCCACACGCATTCCCGTCCGTCGGATGGGCATCAGAGGGCTATCCAATCGTGCCGAGACCCCTTGCAAAATGGACGGCATCAGATTTGGAATATCGTCAATCATCCTGCGGCTGACATGGCCCAGGCACATTGCCAGGGCTGAGCTGATATAGCCTTGAAGCCTGACTTCTGTATTCTGTACAAACTGCGAGTTGCCCCATACTGCTGCGAGTCTTCCAAGCGTTTGTCTCAGCAGCTGCTGCTCTTTAGTATAAGTACCGCTTCCCTCCTTCTCCTCCTTCTCCACATCACCGCTGTTGGCGCTTTTCTCAGTTGAGGGCCCCTGCCTTCCCCCCACTCCAGTCGTCAAGGATGGCGACGACCTCATCACCCCAAGAGCCAGAATCCAGCGAAGGCAAGCCAATGGAAGCGGCCGTTGCAGAAGGAACCGCTCTGCGAACAAGGATCTGATGATTGGATTGGTAAGAACCGATTTGCCCAAAACTGTGTCCAAACAGGCCACCGCATCGAGATCAGAGACTCCAATCTTCGCCATGTATCGCATCAAGGACTCTAGCCATCTCTCAGAGGCGTGGAAATCCACCATCTGCGCCGACACATTGGCCCACCAGCTCCCTCCTCTCCTTTTGCGGTCTCCCTCTCCCTCTCTTTCCCCAGCCCTCCCCCCACAATGTGCATTGGCCGTTGGAAGCGTCCCCTTTTTCTGCCGACTCATGCCACCGCCTTCCATCAATGTCCGCACCATCTCCGCCGCCAGCAGATCCGCATGACCGCGCCGACACATTCTGGTGATCACCTCCGCAATGAAAAGATAGGTCCCCTCTCCGCTTCTGTGCCCACAATGCCCCCCAACCCCTCCAACTGTCTCTTATACACATCTAGATGTGTATAAGAGACAGTCCAATGATGGCGTCATTCGTCTCTGCGCTTTCCGCATTCCCTTTCGGTTGTTCCCCCTCTGCCGAAAATGAAGTTCCCTCACAAGTTGCCCCCTCCTCCTCCTCCTTCTCCTCCTTCTCCTCCTCCTCCTTGTCCATCCCCATCATCTGCTGGCTTGATGGAGCACCCACACTGATGATCTCTGTGCCAGACGAAGTTGACTCTTCGCACTCATTGCCTGCTGCGATGAGCTGCTGCAGGACCGATCGGAAGAAGGATGGGGTAGTCAATTGCTGTGCAGCCTTGGTGAAGGCTCTGTCAGGTAAAGAAACTACCAGCAAAGCCATCTCCCTCACAAACTCCTCCTTCCCCCCCCCCTTACTGCCTTGGCCCCTGTCTGTTGCAACCCTTTCTACCTTGTTCGGCTTTCTCGATTCCGCGCCTGCGAGTTCTCCGAGCTCCAGTCCGATCTCTTTGATCCCCTCCTTTCCACCACCGCTGACCTGCCGCCTTTCTCTCTCCGCTGTCATCCCTAACAAGCGCAAGATGATCAGTCTCTCGGCTGCCCGCTGCGCTGCGTTGGTTTCCTCCTCTTCTCCATCATCAGGGTATTGGCGTGCTGACCTGACCCTCAGCGATGCCAATGATGATATCTCAGGTGCCAATGCTCGCAGAACCACCAGTGCCGGTGCAGCAAGAAAGAACGCGTCGAAGAGCGCCAACTGCTGGGCACTCGTAAAGCAAGCTAACCAGTCTGGAGCCACTTCATACAGCAGCAATTGTGCAAAAGCGAAGAAGCAGTTCCCTCTGTAAAACACATGCCTAATAAGCGCCAAATGATTCTCCTCTGCTCCATCCTTGGGCAACACAGCAGACTTGGCAGCAGAAACACAATTCTTCACATGCTGATCGACTGCACAGACAGCAGGACACTGCTGCTTCACACTTGCTTTCCCTCCATCCTCATCAAATGCTGCGACCGGTGACGGCAGTGGCTTTCCTCTGTCAGAAGATGATGGCGTCCGACCACCATAGCCGGTGGTGGCAGACTCAGGAGGAAGCAGCAGTGCAGCGATCTGGGTCAGGATGTTGACCACGACCGCCACGTCATCGACCTCCTCAAGCGCTCTCCGCACGCCACGTAGCAACGAGGCAAGAGAAGACTCCACAACGGCGGTGGCGTTGCCACTCTGCTGCTGCGACTGTAGGGCTGCCACGTCATCCATCCTTACAGACGCACGTTTGCCCTCAACAGCCATGCGTGTGTGTACGTGCCAGGATGCTGCTCGCACATCGCAAAGTCATCGGTCCTTTGGGATCGGGGGGTTGGAGCCTCCACGTCATCACCAATGCAGTGTGCAGAAGACGAGAAACGACCGGTGTAAAAATGGCAGGAAAGTTTTCCCAGCAGGAAAAAAAAAGAGACAGAGTCTCACTTTGCCAGCAGGACCCTAGGGGTACAAATGGCGGGGAAGGTAGCTCATTGTTACCAGCTTCCAAGCCTCGTTGCACTTCAACGCCCGCCCCAAAACTTTTACAAAAGCCGCAAGATACACACAGGCCATCGACCCCTCCTCTGCATAGCACTTGGCCAGTCTGTGCCAGCCAACTACCGCGATCCGGTGCAGGCGTGACCGAGCCCTGGGCTGGTACGGGAATCACGTGAAAGTTCCCTTTCACGGCCTCCCACACTCCCCCCCCCCGCTTGGGGTGAAAATCTGACGAAGGTTTTGTTTTGCCACCAGCAGGGGGGATCTACTATACCTTTTCCCCATTCAAATTATGGGGAGACTTCTACCCCACGTTATTGGGCCATGTCTCTGCAATTAGCGATCCTGCCTTTGTCGAACTGAAGCAGCAGGGTTCAGATGGCAAGAGGCGAGGCCACTCCGGGACCACAACACAGTGTGCCTTCTTGGCTAGGAAGAAAACTTCCTACGGTTAGCGAGCGACTATGTTTTGAGCTTGTCTGTCGGGCGGATCAGCACCGGCGCAAACCTGCAGAAGACAGTTACTGCAAGTAGTTAGTAATACATATTGTCACATACCTATGAACTAAAAAAGCGCACTTTGCGAAACAAACGTTTAAAGTGAAAAAAAAGCATACATATGTATTTGAGTGGCGGTGGGGGGCCATGAGAAGGGAGGCGCGGCTACTGGCAAAATGCTTGGTCTTCGCGTTAGCCAAACCCCCACTGCCGGCCCCACCTCATCTCTGACTACGGCTGTTGGGGTGAAGGGCAACACGAAATCCCCCTTCATTGTGAGGCAGCTATGCTTGCAGGGGTCGCCTGGAGTAGTGGTAAGTAGATAAGAAAGGCAAAAAAAAAAACAACAAAAAAAAAGAAAGAAGAAGGAAAGAGTGAGGTCAGTCAAAGCCGGGTAATGGCCCCCAGTATCTGAATTGATCTGTAAGATTTTCATAAGGGATGCTAAGCCCGGTTCCCACCCGTGCCGTGCTGCTCCCCACCAACTCAAATAGATTGGAGCAATGTTCAAAACAAGAAAAAAAGAAAAAGAAAGAGGTGGATTCAGGCTCACAGAAAGATTGGGCGGGGTCAAATAGATTGGAGCAATGTTCGATTTTATTTATTTATTTTTAATCAATCCTTGGCAAGGAGCATAGTGTCTGCAAGGCTTTAGCGCCAGACGATCCTTGGCAAGGAGCATAGTGTCTGCAAGGCTTTAGCACTAGACGACTTGACTTACAACATGCACAACAAGTCCAGCGATGTCTTTGTTAATCCGAGGGGTTCAGAAAAAGATTGCGTGTCACAAGCAAAAAAAAACAGCAGACAGGATTATTCTGGAGGCGCTGCACTGCACAGCAATCTTATCAATAGCTTACAAATTATTCAATACTGCTGTAACCTATAGAAAGGCAGATGGGTCCATGCAGCAGTAGATTACAAGCATCTACGGACTAAACGGAGGCGGTGAAGACCTGTATCAGTCCCCTGGGTGCACCTGTTGCTCCGTGGGAGAGGTTCCTTTTGCATCCATTCTTCAGCAGAGACCTTCAGATTGCAAGCATCTACTGCCAGAAAGACGGAGTCTTGAGATAAGGTGAAACCTCAACTGTGGTAATTCCTTGGTCCCCAGGGTGTAAGTGCCGCTACACATGGAGGGGATCGCCCCCCAAGTCCCCCTTTTTATTTTCTTTTTCTTTTTTTGTTCCTTTTTTTTGGAACATTGGGGTACAACCTTCAGTACGGCTCTTTTCCCCAGGGTGATAAGAGCACCATCTGGATGGAGGTGTTGCGGATGATGGCTCTATCTCCCGAGCCGGCCTCGGAGGTGCGAGCCTCCTGCTGCTCGGTGTGACCAAGTGCTTTTCCACGCGCATTTCGGCAACTGAGCTGCCTCTGCAGGAAGTAGGGTCCACCATCCGATGATGTACAGAATGGACAGTTCTGCGACCATTACCCAGCCTAGGCTGTGCCTTAAAAGACTGCCCCAGAAGAGCAACACCCTCTCTCTCTCTCTCTCTCTCTCTCTCTC